ATTACGGGCTGCGTCGAGTTTTTTTTGATTCAATATCAATTTTTATTTAGAATTATACTATCATTTATGTACAATTACCTTAGGGGGGTATGGTGCCGCTATGGGCATTAATCAACCTTATCATGCTTTGCAATCGACCTACCCAACGCCACTTTATCAGCAGGGTACTCATTTCTCGTCTCATCAACCTCCTTATGCTTCGCAGTTTGCGAATTATGGTTCTACCTATACCAACATTAATGCACATTCGAGTAATGGTTCTGGTGCCACATCACAACCTGTTCAGTTCACTCCTCAACACACTTCTTTTACTCCCATTATCCCACAATATCCTGTTGCAAATGGTGGTACCGCTCGTTTTGGTTCTAGTATCGCTTCTGCTGAAAATCAAAATAGCGGTGGGTCATTAAAATCAAACGAAAGATCCTTTGGATCAAATAGTTTTAACAGATTCTAATTTTTATTAATCCTAACAATTATTTTTCTTTTTTTTTCTATATTTTTTTTTGCAATGTTTTTTTTTTCGTTTACTTTTTTTTATGATCAGGTGTTTAGTATGCTCACATTTGTATAGCACATAGTATGCATAGATCAATTATTATTATTATTTTTATAGTACATAATTAGTATCATTACCCGAGTCTACGTATTAAGTTTCTTGTTTGTGCCTAATAATAATTTTTTTTTTCCTGATACTTCAAAGATCCAGCCTTCTATCTGTTTTAATAAAATTATCTTGTGATTAGCAAAAGTTGATCCGCGTTGATCATTATTTAATTAGCCCAGGTTGATCAGTCGGGAACAATATCTATCATTATTATTGTTTTTCTCAATGTCATTCTCAATGTCATTCTGATACATGATGTTGCATAACAATAAAATCAGATTACGTATTTCCTGTATTAAAGCAAGATCTACATCTCGGATTACGAGTAAGTCCGTATAAAGTTTCGACTATAGTGGGCTTTACATCAACAAATAATGTGCAGCAAGTCTTTATGGTCTTTATTTAGAATGATTATTCCGATATACCGTATATCGATATAATTTGAATAACCGCCAACGCTAACGATAATTGTACATAAATGATAGTATAATTCTAAATAAAAATTGATATTGAATCAAAAAAAACTCGACGCAGCCCGTAAT